TTTTTTTTTTTGTTGTTATTGAAAATGGAAAATCTCCATTTAGAAAAATACTTGTGGACGTAGCCTGAAATCGCCGCTTTTAAAAGGTTATTCTTTCTAATACCTGCACTGATGTTCAGTCTCGCCTCTGACACCCTCCGTACATCAATAACGGGCAGCCAATCAAAACAAAGTCAGCTTATAGGGAGGCAGGACGATCTCGGACGCTGCTCACAGCTCGCTGTCAGGGGAAGATTACTTTGAGCAGAGAATCATGCAAAGCCACCGTAGAGACTGAGATTAAAAACAAGCAGCTGAGCAGCATGAATCCAGTGTAACAGCGTCACACTGGGAACGCACTCGGCCGTCAGTGCGCCGTCGCTGAATGTTTGAGTTTAAGATTTCAGAGGCGGCGACCCGGGTCAGCGACTTTCCTAAATACTAGAATAAAAGCGATACTGTGAAAGCTACAAATGCAGCGCTGTTCTTCAGCCTAACACGGGCCAAAGCCGGCTTTTATGACTCCGCCCTGCACGGCGCCGGTTGCCGAGCTCGTCCGAACGCTCTGCTTATTACCCGGGAGGCGGGCGTTTTCACCCCGGCCCCCTGCTGAGATTTCAGGACGACTTCTCGTCCGTGTGAGTCCTCATGTGGCGCAACAAGTGACTGCTCTGAGTGAAGTTCTTCTCACAAATTTTACAAGAGTAGCGCTTCTCGCCCGTGTGCGTCCTCATGTGGATCAGCAGCGTCCCGCTCTGACAGAAGCGCTTCCCGCACGCTTTGCAGGAGTACAGCTTCTCGCCCGTGTGCGTCCTCATGTGGACGGTCAGGCTGCCCCTCTGGGTGAAGCTCTTCCCGCAGGTTTTGCAGGAGTGCGGCCTCTCGCCCGTGTGGATTCTCGTGTGGCTCTTCAGGTTGGACGTGCAGATGAATCTCTTCCCGCACGTTTTGCACCCGTACGGCTTCTCGCCCGTGTGGATTCTCATGTGGACCAACAGACTGTCGCTACACCTGAACGTTTTCGCACATATCTTGCAGGAGTACGGCTTCTCGCCCGTGTGAGTCCTTTCGTGATATCTCAGTAAGTATATCTGATAGAACGACTTCCCGCAGGTGCTGCACGCGAACGGCTTCTCGCCCGTGTGGATCCTGACGTGTCTTTTTATTTGGGACTTATCCTTAAAAACTTTCTCACAAACGTAACATTTCAAAGGCTTTTTACCTGCGTCTGCATCGCCCTGACTCTCTGACACGGGAGCGCGCTCTGCACTGTCACTCCTGCTTTTAGCGAGTCTCTTCGTTGGCTTTGGCTC